GGCTGAGGCCGCAGCGCCGCCCCGCGGACGTCGGCGCGCCCGGAGGACGTCAGAGCGCCCGAGGGCGCCCCCGCGCGTGCGCGCCCGCCCCCGCCCCCGACTCCCGGGGCTCGCTGGGAGTCCGGCGCGGTGGCGCTCTGTGTGCGCTTGCGTGGTGCGCGACTCGGTGGGTCTTCCCCGGCGCGGTCGTAAGGTTCCGCCTTGACCCCCTTGTGTGTTGGAGCCCAGCAAGCTCCTCTCCCAGTTGAGTAACTTCCCTTTATCCCCGCAAAGAACCGACGACCCGGTCGGGTCCTCACCCCACATCCGCACTGTGCTGCCCCCTGGCGGCCACGAAGATGAGGCCAGGTCTGCCGTGAGCGCGCTCCGACGCTGGCGAGGGACAGTCCAGTCCCCCTCCCAGCCAGCCTGCCAAGGGCTGCTGTCGCTGGGAGGGGACCTACCTGACCCCGCCCCGCCACTCCAGCATTCCGGATTCCATTTTATTCTGCATTATTTCCCCCTTTGCCCTTCCCACATTCTAAATACCATTAATTTACTTTTGAGTTTCCTTCTCTTTCTGGAGCTTGATCTCCAGGAGGGCTGCTTGCTCTGGAATGTAGCCCAAGAACCGTGCCTGGCGCACAGTAGGTGTCCAGTAACCGTTGGTTGAATTGATGAATGCCTGAGCAAGGAAGACTCACGGAACATCCCTGTTCTAACAAGTGTACGAGTCAGGAGGGGATGCTCTTGAATAAGTGATTGCAGCGGGTTGACATTCGCTGCAGCCGTGGGCGCCCACGGAGGTGACCTGCTAAGGCAGCGTCCACCTCAAGAGTTTTTCAAACATAATGCTACACGTCTTGATTTGCAAGTTTAAAAAATTCATCAGTGCACCCTCCACGGTCGTTTCCTGCCAGTATAGTGTTTTTTAACTGGCAGAGTATGGATGTGTTATAAATTGTTTAACCATTTTCCTGCTTATAGACATTTAGATTGTTTCCAGGATTGGACGGTTACAAAAGGCTGCAAAAAGACATTTTGAACTTGTCTCCTGTGTTCCCACATGAATGTGTCTCTTGACTGATACGTAGAAATGGGTGTGTGCGTGTTTTACATAAGCCAGATTGCGCTCCCAAAAGCCTAACTACAGCCTCACCCATGTCAGCACATCCACAACAAACAGTCGTCAGCCTCTCCCACTTTCAGTCTGGTGGCAAAAAAGTGTCAGGTGTTTTGTTTCTGCCTCGGAACCCCGGCGCCCGGCCTGCTCCTGGGTCTCCGCTCCCCGCGCCCCGGGCGCGCGCCTGCGCCCCTCTAGGCGAGCTGGCCGGTGTCCTGCCTGTTCTGGCAGATGAAGCCGAAAGGCCAGTTGGGGCCAGAAAGTGGAAAATCAGATGGGGACATGGAGCTTGACGCTGGGCTCCGCGGAAAGCGGTGACGCTTAATTAGGGGCGAAGGCTCGGCGCGCGTCTCGGAAAGAGCTCCTGGGCTGCCGGAGCCGTTGGGACAGGCCCGCCCGGGGGCCAGTGCGCGCCGCCCCGCCGGGACCCCGCCCCGACCGGCGGCCCCGCCCCCAGTCCAGGCGGCAGCGGTGGGTCGGGTTTGCGGCGGCGCGGCGCGAGGTGAGTTCCGGGTTCTGGGGGTCCCGGGGTTCGAGGGTCGTGGGGTCCGAGCGGGCCGGGTTGGGGGGGACCTTGTGCGGCGCTCCCTGGCGGAGCGGGCGAACTCGGGCGACCCCGCGGGCGCGTTCTGAGGCTCGAGAAGGGCGCGGCCGAGCGCCGGGCATCCTGTCCGAGCGGCGTCTGAGCGCGGCCCGTTTCTTCCTAGAGTGACCGCGCCGACCCCGGGCCCGAGGCCGCCCGGAAACACGCGGAGCCTGGGGCCGGCGCGGTGGGCGGCGGCGGCCCTGGGCGACCTCGCGCGGACCCCCGTGCGCTCCCGGCCGTTCCCCGCGCCTCGCAGAGGTAACCTGCGGTCCAGGGCTGCCCGGCTCGCGGCTCAGTGACCCGGCGGACGCAGGCCTTGGGCGCTGCCCCAGTGAAGGCCCAGTCCCATCTCCTGCCCACAGGGCAGGTCCTGCCGAGCTGCGCGTTGTCACACTTGAAAACACTGATTAGGGGTGTTGTTCAGCTCCTAGACCCCAGATTTGGGAATCGCAGGGAGCAGCCCACCTGGGGGGCTGACTCCCAGTGAGGTCGTGGGCCTGACGTGCTTATCCAGGTCTAGATTCAGGGACCTTTAACTGGGGCATCTTTTTGGGGATGTCGCATGTGTTCATGGGGTTCTCAAAGGGATCATTGACCACCCCCCGCCCCCAGAGATTAAGAAATGCCTTCCTGGTCCAAAGGCCCAGCCAGGGGGACACCCCATGCCTGTTGAAACCCTGGGGGTCCGGGGAATCTCAGCCAATGGCTGTCCTTTTCCTGTCCTGGTTCTAAAAACCTCAGACCATATCAGGTGAGAGGATTTAGGGAGGAGGGCGCAGCCTGGGGGAGCAGTGATGGGGCTAGAGGCTTAGGTGGTCCCTCCAGCCCAGGCGCGGGGTGGGGTGGGTGTCAGAATCAGCAGCCCCTCCACCATGACTGAGGATTCTGAGTCAGGGTTTGGGTGACCACACCCTGGGTTCCTGCGGGGGCGGGTTCGGTTTTGCTCACGTGCTCTGGGCTGTGGACTGGGTGTACTCAGCCCCTCTGTGTGACAGCTGGGTGACATGGCTAGTCACAGACGCCCTCACCCGCTTCAGCAGGCCCATCTGCTGGGACCTGCACACATGAATTTTGCGTGCTGCGGGCACTCAGGAGAAGTGGAACTGGAGCCTTTGCATGGGCTGCCCCTCCTCCCCGCCCCCCCTTTCGTCGGCTCCATTCAGCAAAGCCAGGCAGTGCCAGGCTGGGACACAAATGTGAGGCAGTGTTCTCAGGAACCCAGGGGTTTCGGGGAGCCAGGACCTCACATGGGGCTGAGTCACCCTGTTGGGCAGGGCCATTCTAAAGGCCATTCTCAAATCGCATCATTTCCAGGCCTTTCTGTGGCTCCTGAATGAAACCCAGCTCCCTGCGTCTCAGCACCCGGGGCTGTTCCCCCGGCCCCTCCTTCAGGGCCTCAGGTTACTGTATATTCAGGCCCTGGCTGGTCCCTGGTGAGGTTAGGGCCTGTCAGCTGCTTCCAGCCCGCCTGTTGGACCTCCGGCTTTCAGACTTGAGAGCAGTTGGCTCACTTGTCCCCCTCCCGCCTTCCACCTAGAAAACTCCGCTTCTCTCACCATGAGTGTGGACATCCACTACGAGCAGCTGAGCGACGCCCGGTGGAAGGAGCTCCTGCCTCTGATGCGGCAGCAGCAGGTGGTCAGGTAGCGATACCTTGCCAAGATCCTTGCCGGGTGGCTAGTGGGCTGGGGGCCCACGAGCGGGCGTGCTGAGCTCTGAAAACTCTCAACTCGTGGACACACAACGTAGACTGTGTGTCACATGGTGTGAAATGTTGTTATTGTATTTTATCCAACCATTTAAAAACCTGAGCCCATTCCCAGGTGGGCGGAGTGGCCAGCCAGTGTCTCTGGCTCGGCTGCTGCCTCTGGAACGCAGTCATGTCAGTTGGCTGCATGCAGGCGAGGCCTGTCCCTTTGCTGCCCATTCTCACACCCAGCAGTTCCTCAGGCTTCACAACAGATAGCTGCCTGCTTATCTTAAACTTGCTGGAAATAGATTGAGGTTCACCGAAGAGTTATGAAGATGGTTTGGGGGCTCCCTGTGTCCTTTGTCCCGCGTCCCCTGAAGCCAGTGCCCCATCGCCTGGGCCACTGGTCAAAATGAGGAGCCCAGCACAGCCAGCTTGACTCTGACGTCACCGGCTTTCTCACCGTGTCTTCCCTGTCCCAATCAGTGCAAGATCCCACGTGGCATTCGTCGTCAGGTCTCCTTGGCCCCCTCCTATCTGGGACGGTCCCTCTGCCCCTCCTTGTCCTTGGCCGTCTGCCTCTTGGGTCAGCTCAGGTCTGGAAAAAATCCCTCTGGTGTCTCCTTGTGGCTGAGGCACACATTTTTGGCAAGAATACACAAATGATGCCGTGTCCTACCTGGCATACTGTATTGTGGGGTGTACGGTCATGATGGCACCGCATGGTCACTACTGTCACGTGACCACCTGTTGGGTGGGGTCTGCCAGGTATCCAAGGCTGTTTTGCCCTTTGTTACTGGTAAATACGTTAGGGGACATGCCTTGACTGTTCACGTCCCTTTCTGCTCAGTGTCACCTCCTGACTTCAGCCTCCCTTGGGGGATGTTGCCATGACTGGGCCTTTGTCCGACTGGGGTTTTCAGCGTTTACTCCTTGCCGTTTGTCAGTTGTCCCTTCCCCCCCCCCATGTTGACGCCATCTCCCATGCAGCTGGGTGGACTCGGTCCTGACCACAGTCTGGTTTCGCTGGGTCGCGCTGCCCACGCTGCTCCTTGCAGGCCTGGCTGTGCCGGCCGCGTCCCCTCCCGGGGACTGGACAGGGCTTTGGCGCTGACTGCCCATCGTCAGGTGTGGAGAGCGCTCAGCGCCCCAGCCGCGTACCTGCGGATGTGCCCGCCTTTGGTGATTCCCTAAGACGGCCTGGTCATTTTTTCCGTTTCACTTGAGACGTCACGGTTGTGACATGCCTAGTGGTCGGCCGGCTGGCAGGTTACAACCTGCTGTGTGACAGACATGACCCTCTGAGTGTCCTGTCTGCAGGCTCATTGACTGTGGCGTCACAGAGGCGCGCTGCCAGGACATCAACTCTGCGCTCCGAGGCAACCCCGCCCTGACGGAGCTGGACCTCTGCAACAACGAGCTGGGGGACGGGGGCCTGCGCATGCTCCTGCAGGGTCTGCACGGGCCTGCCTGCAAGGTCCAGACACTCAAGTGAGTCCCCGGTGCTGCGCTCCTGCCTCACCCCAGGTGACCCCAGTGACCCCCTCCCCT